AGGGAACATTTGATTGTCAAACAGGCTTCCAGTAAGAACGACAATCTTGAATCTGCACCTTTCAAAGACCTGACCATGCTGTGGCAGCAAAATGAGACCAACCTGTAATGCCTGATCTGCTCACGAAGGCCTCCGGCTCTCATCCAAGATCTCTCCTCCAAATGCATTGCTCCTTCTTTTCCCCCCTCAACTGACATCCTGAACACTTCTAGATCCTCTGCTAATTTCTGTCCACTGATCCCAAGTGCAAGGCAACAAAATGGAGAGACGTAGTTTTAATCGATTTAAGCAGCTATGGTAATCCTTTTAGTCTTTTAGCTAGCTGTAACAACTGATGTACTCTTCAGATGTTAGATCCTGACACAGCATTCTCCAGAACAATTACCCTCAGTGCCTTCTAATTAAAACACAGTATTTCTCCCACTTCTCACTTTAATGAGCCATAAATGAGTGGTCACAGAAATACTGCAAAAGGAAAAAAATCCTGTAATTAAAGGGAGCAGGAGTAAATTCAAAGAAAGAATAATGGTCCAGTAAAAGTAATGAGAAAAATGAAAGAGCAGCCTTGCCCAACATGGTGCCATTCAGATAAATTGGACTGCAACTCCCAGTATCCCCCATGGCTGGGGATGATGGGGCTGCAGTCCAACATATTAAGAGGAATCCAGATTGGGCGTGGCTCCTCTTTAATCTCAGGTGGAAAGGCTGAGAGATGCTGTGGTGGAGGCTTGTCCTGTTTTGCATGGCACTGGTGCAAGTGTACAGGGCTTTTGGTTCTCCCTGTAATATTAGAACACGGGATCACCCCACGAAGCAGGACGGCAGGAGAGTCAAGAAAGATGAAAGGAGATACTCATTCACACAGCACACGGTGAAAAATTCAACACCAGAAAAATGTGATGGCGGCCAACCTGGATGGCTTTAAGAGAGGATTCCACCTGGGGAAAAGCGACACCTTTAGTTTCAAACAAATAACCAGGTCTGAAGCTAGACCCTCAAAAGCAAACACCCTTCAAAAAAATAAACAAGGGAGGATTTTCTTTCACAGAAATGTACACAGGCTTGTTGTCTTGTTCAAACTCATCACATCACTTACCCACTTAAGCCCCATCATTCTACCATTAACAGTAAATCATCCCAGCATTAACATCTAGACAGGGTTCTCTCTCTGCCTCCTTCCTGTGCTATTCATTAAATTCTACATGACATCCCTAGCATGAGAGACCTTTCCAGCCTCTTTGTATCAACTGAACAAGAAAAACCATATGGCTTCAGATAGATTCATGTATGACAAATTAATAAGATGTTTCCATTAGTTTACTGTTAATTCAGGATTTTTAAAAAAAAAAATACAGTGGACTCTCGATTTACGGAATTAATCCGTATTAGAACGGTGGCCACAGGTCGAAAAGTCCATAGGTCGAGGGTCCATTTCCCATAGGAATGCACTGGAAACCATTTAATCCATTCCAGGCAAAGGAAAAAGCATCCCAGACTTCCAAAGCTGCACCCACTGCCCTCTGTCTCCTGCCCCTGGTGCCCTCTGCCTTCTGTCCCTGTGGGGACAGAAGGCAGAGGGCACTGGGGATGGGAGACAGGAGAGCGAAGGGAGTTGTGAAGCTCGGGAATCCGAAAGCCAGCAGCGGGGGCGGAGCGGCTCAGAAAGCTGGCAGCAGGGGCGGAGTGGCTTTCAGCTTCCCAGGCTTCACAACCCCCTCCGCCAGGAGAGCGAAGGGAGTTGTGAAGCTCGAGAATCCGAAAGCCAGCAGCGGGGGCGGAGTGGCTTTCGGCTCCCCAGGCTTCACAACCCCCTCCACAGCCCTCTGTCTCCCATCCCTGGTGCCCTCTGCCTTCTGTCCCTGTGGGGACAGAAGGCAGAGGGCAACGGGGACGGTAGGCAGAGGGCAGCGGGGGCAGCTTTGAATTTCCTGCCCTTTCCCCCGCCTTTCGTAGGTCGAAGCTCTGGCCGCAAGTCAAGCTAAAATTTTGTGGCCGGAGCTTTTTGTACCTCGAAATTTTCATAGGCTGGGACCTTCATAAGTCAAGGGTCCACTGTGTGTATATATATATTAAGTCAAGGGTCCACTGTATATATATATATTGCTTAAGTAAATAAGAGGTCCAAGAAAAGAAAACAATGTGCAGGTTTGGGTTTGTCCCTCTACCTTCCAAGTTTTTTCACTCCAGTGAAACCAAGTTATGCCCAGCAGACATAAATAAGATGATCAGATGTTCTGCCAAAGCCTGAGGGACAAGATGTAACCAAACACTACCTCTGAGTGCATGGAAGTAGGTGTTTCTGACATGTCAGGTTGATGTTAATATATTTTGTATAAACACCAGAAGCCACAGATTCATGCTTTCCCTGGGACCTCACACAGTGGAATTCCTGTCTTTCCATTAGGAATAGATTGTTAAAGCCTTGGCAAGTTACAGGAAGCCTGACTTTGGCCTCTGACATCCATGTGCACACATACAAGTTAGTGAAATCTGACTTTTGCAGAATGCCATAGATCTCGCCTTAAAATACACATCATCCTCCAATCATTTGAATGCTTAATTCTGTTTATATTAGGACTTTTAAATACAAATGACTGCTTGGACAAAAAGGAATAACTTTTAGCTTTCCCTGACTGGTGGCATGCTCTCTGGGGATGACAGATGTTGTCGTGTAACACAGCTGGAGAGCACCAAATAAGGAAAGCTGAACGATTTTATCACCAGGCATTTTGGTAAAGTTACTGATCATACTGGACAAACCTAACAAGCAACAGCGTTCAGAACAAGTGTTTAACTAAAAGGACAATGATCAGGCTTCCTGTACACAAAACACAAGTTTTTAGCAAGGGCTTAGAAGGTGGAACTTCCCAAATATTAAGAAGAAGGGTCTCAAGCAACTGGCTGACCTTTTCACATCACTAGGTATTTCAGAATGATGACCCAACCCGTTTAGAAGGCTTGCTGTTAAGTGTGTTGCTGTATACGGGATGAGCCTTTAAAAGCTTTGTTTTTACCTCAGAGCAGGGCATGATAAAGTTCCTTTTGCAGGCGACAACTCGCAGAAATTCCCATCCAGCCTAGCCAGTGGCCGTGTTCAGGATGGGTTTCCGGGGCCTCTATTATAAAAAGGCAACTTTTCCAGAGTCTGCTCCAGAGTGGAGATGAGAGCAATACCTCAAGAGTTCGTCCGTGTCCTCTTCAACGCGTGAGTTTAATGCAAGTTCTTGGCTCACGCAGGCAGACGGCAACAGCAGTGGGTCACCTACAGTTACCCTCTCGCCAAGGTCTGGATCTTCGAACAATTTCAGATCTATGTAAGTGAACAGAGAGCTTTAGCCAACTTTCAGCTGCATAGAATAACAAAGGCCAAAATGAGTTGCGGGCTGTGTATCTGGAGCTCCTGTAGTCACATTAATCCAATAATGCTGATTATAGTGCTAGTACCATATGACCCAGTTCCATGAAGACTTCACCTACAGGGAGCAGCAAAAATTGCTGCAGTATTAGATTCTAGTGGTTCCACTTATGCTGCAGTGCATCAAGCACAGACTACTGTACTTTGCCACAAAGAAGTGACTTTGAGAGAGCAAAATGTGACAACATCAAAGTCCCTTCTGTATAGCAAAGTACATTCAAGCAAGAAGCATGTTGAACCTTTACTCATGTACCTTCTTGAATCATCTGTGGCTTAAAAGCCAGAGCAGGCCAGCTGAATACTCTACTCCTTGCAAGATTTGGTTTTAGTCCTTCATTTTTATTCTCTATTTTTGTACAGTAGTATTTTACATATATGTAGAATGTCACATAGACAGCATTTAAGAAGTAAAGGTGACTGCCACATTTTCTTGCTTTTAAAATCAACTGATCTAAATAAGAAACAGAAGGAGCTGTCCCTCAAACAGCAGCTATAAAGAACTACTCCCAGAATCTGTGAAAGAATGATGATGACCATCATAAATGCTACATGCTTGGTGGCACTTCTACACATATTTACGGAGTATGCATAAAGAAGTGGAAGGTAAATACCGTTTCCTTTTGCTGCCAATATCCTCTTGTTCCTGACAAATGGAGAATCTTTAGCTGATCCAAATAGTCCTTCACCTGGATCCACTTCTTCGTCAAAAAGGGTTAACTTTGGCTTATCTTTTTGGACTTGAGACTGTCTGGACTTCTTGGTCTTTTTAGATCTAAAGTGTTAACAAAGAGGAGAAAAAAACAACAGTGGTTATGAAAACCTTGAGGGTTTGCAGACTGTGAACTTTTCTAGAGGGAGAAAGTCCAGTTCGACTTGTAGCACTGGAGAGATTATGGCTAACACTTCACAAATATTTTGTGACTCTCATAAGGAAAAACATATAGGACGAAATCCTGTTCCATGTCTCAGATAAAGTACTGAGGTTAGGCACCCTCAAGCTGCTTTTGATTTATGGCAATTCTAATAAGACTTCATGAGGTATGTAAAGTATTTAAGGAGCGATATACTGTTGCCATTTCCCAGTGAGTTTCCATGGCTGAACAGGAATTCGAATTCAGGTCTCCTAGTCCAGCACTCTGTCGATTGCATCCCACCGGCTCAGTGAACTAAAGCAGACATGCTGAATCAGCTGCTAAATGGTGACTCACTTCTTATGCAAATAATGTTGATGAAATGGGTATACACTAGCAACGACTGTTAATAAGATTCTGGCTACAAGCATAATTCTTGACCAGCCGGGTGGCACATACATGCTCAAAGGCAGCGGCCCAGCTTCCCTGCCAGGGCTGCTGCCTCAGAGGATGGCACCCAGGAATGAGGGCGCCCCCGGGCCATGGTGGCAGCAGGCAGACTGAGCCACGGGGGGGGGGGTGCAGCGGAAACGAGACAGGCAGGCAATCCTGGTTTGCTGAAGCAAATGGAAAAAGAAGGAGGGGGGGGGAAACAGTTTGGAATTTCATTTTGCTTCAGCAAAACGGGATCCCTGAATGGTATTGTGAAACGAACCACAAACTGGACAGGTTTGTCAATTTGTTCTTGGTTCAAGGCTCATTTCATGCCCATCTCTAGTAATGGTGCTTCTTCCACCTCCTTCCTCCAGCCACCACTCAGAAAGTACTCTGTGACAGACATTATCCGCACCATAGGTTCCCTAAGGTCATTTCAAAAGAAGGAGACACTTTTCCCATAAGGCTGTATTTAGCAAATCTCTGCTGCCATAATCCATTACCATAAAAATATCTGTCAGCGGCAGAAAATGTAGAAATGCACAAAGGGTACAAAAAAGTTCTGAAGTCAGCAAGAGCTGAATGATGGTCCTGCTCCAAATGAGGAGAGTGCTTTGTCAAATCCAGGAATGTGGATTAAGTGGAGGGCAGGAAAGCAGAGCACTGGGAAATGATGGAGCAGAAATGCCACTGGGCCCAGCCTGACGTCACCAGCAAGTAGCTGTGAAAACAACATTCTGTGGGAATCACAGACGCCCCCTCAGCCCTCACCATTCACTCCGTTCCTGATTTATTCTTAGCACAGTTTGCAGCTTTCCTGAAATACCTTTCTTTTCGTTTCCTTTTTAAAAAGTTGGTTCTGGTAAGCTTGCTTTAAGAAGCTTTTTTGCTGGCAGATTAAATGAAGCTTGGGCTGCTGTAATTTCTGTCACAACGGGTGCGCTGTTGTGACATTCTGGAAGCAAAGCCCTGCTGGGTTCACAGAACCTATGCGAGTGCTAAGAATTTTTTTTTTTGAAACAGATTTTGTGGCATTCGCCCTAAAAACAAAAATAATACTTGAGAAAAGTTCTGGAGCATATATTTCAGTGAACTGAGGGATATTAAAAATAGATAGATTTTCTCCTAATTTACGCATGTCATTCATACATGGCATGTTCTTCCATTATTATTATTTTTAAAGAAAATCCCACTGTTTATTTTAATCTCCTCTCCTATTGTGTTCCTTCCAGCTCACAGTAATATTGGCTAAAATCTTGTTGCCATAACTTATGCCACAAAAGGCTGATGACATCAGCAGGAGCACTGATATTTTCTCTTAGAGATTAACCATTTTGAACTTCTCTCCTGTGGTTCCTGGTTGATCCTTTCCATTGTTGGGAATCTGTGAAGGCCATCCCACTGGGAGCCATTTTTGGCAATTAAGGACTTCCTTGCCCATTCCCCCACTTCCAAAGGTTCCTGGGAGAGAAGGTGAACATGTTTAAGCTTCAAAATGTGGCGGCGACTGCCACCCATCGTGAGCTTTACATGGTGTTTTAGTTATGGCAACGGGATTTAAGCCATCATGTGAAGGGGAAAAGAAAATCAGCTTAAGCCAAGGGTAGGGAAATGTATGGCTCACCCCACAACTGGTGTGGGATGTAGTTCCCGTCCACCCATAGCCGCTATAGGCCATGGTGTGGCAAGATAGGGGTCACAGCTGAAGCATATCTGGAGGGCTACAGCTGCATACCCCTGGTTTCAATAGCAACCTCTTTGGAAAAAGCGAGTGTGGAAAAGGAACAATTAAATGAATGACTGGATAGTTTGATGGTTTAGGCATCTGGTTGCAGAGCCAGAGGTTGGGAGTTTGATTCCCCCACTCGGCCTGTTGCGAGTAGAGCCAGCCTGGGTGGCCTTGGGCCAGCTGCGCAAGTCCCAGGCTGCCCCCCCCCAGAAGAAGGGAATGGCCAAGCATTTCTAGGCATTCTGTAACCAAAAATCCATGGAAAAGGTCATTATAAGTCAAGATTGACTTAACTTGATGATAAGTGGGGTTAATACTGTATTTTAAAATTACTTCAAAACTGGCAAGAAATGCCATTTGCTTAACTGAGATTATCAGAAGACTAGGCAGCCACACAAAGCAGACCCATGGATGATATAGCCAGAGAGGGGTTGTGGCCCACTTTCTTTTTAAAGCCATTTTGACAAGGGGGCCTTCCAGGATGCCTTTATCGAAAGAGCATGTTATATATGAGCCTAAACTCTTCAGGGTTACCACATTATTTGTGACCCGCTAATAGGATTACAAATAATGACTTGTCTGGTTGCCACTGGTTACTAGGCTTTAAAAAAAAAAAACAGGAAAAAATTGGCCTACATTGCATCAGTACAAAGTAATTTTTGCTCACTGGACTGCTGAGGCCATTGCAGGGCATTGAAGACAGAGCATGTGAAAACGAAGTTGCAGTCAGAGACAGCCCAATGATAAAACACCCAAACTTGCTCGGATTATTATGTCCTAATACTAATCGTACAAGGCAGGTACTAACATTTCATGCCCAGACTCTTGCTAATCTACATATGCCATCCCTGCCATGAATAAGCCTTTTTTAAAGTAAGCATCATCATCAAAATACTGTAATAAGCCAGTGATTCAATTAAACCCATTAAAGGCTCAGGAAAAAAAAACAGACAAGTAAAATCCACCCCCATTGACGCTTCCTACTGTCAACAAAACAGCTCTGTGAATCAAGCGATTCAACATTTCCTGCTCCTGGGGGTGGAGGCCTGGGAGCTGATCGATGAGGTAATGTTCGTTTTGAATTCTAATAGACTAGCTGAGCCATTCTATTATGATAAAGCCTTTCAGGACAAGAGAAGATTAAATCTGCCCCACCAGCTGCTTTCCAAAGCCAGAGAAGGAAAAACTTTGGTTTATATTCGATTGGCATGTGCCTCTTTATAGCACTTTAAAAAGATCATTTTGTAAACCTGCACCTGGGCTAAGCTACCTCAGATTACGGGGGGGGGGGGCTCACACAGGACCACCGCTACCACCCTGAAAAACCTCAGCAATATGCCATGTAGAAAACAACATGTAGAAAACTAGGTATCTCAAAGAAGGAATCAAACTGAGGGTCAAGTCAAACATTAAAAGAAATGCAGTGTTTCTGCTACTACAACACTTTCCCTCCAGGCACACAGTTCCTTCAAAACTCCATGCCTGAGTGATCAGACATACAGCTGAAGCCCTGTTAACCTCCTGACAACCAAAAAAAGCTAGCTAGTTTGCAACATGTGGAATGAGGCATGCTTAAGCTAGGATAAAAGGCACTTTGAATTCAATGTTGTGCCCACTTACAGCTGTACAGAAACAGCTGTAAGACAGCCACTGTGGCCAAGCCCCGGCATCTGTTACTAGAAGCAACTCTCTCATTCTGTTTAATGATAGGGCAATCCAGTTTGTACGGGAGCTTTCCAACATAGGAGCCACCCTACTTCCAATTACTTGCAGCCTCAAAGATAACTACTCCATCTGCTGTTTAGGAGAACCAGCAGTTTCCTACCTACTGCTTTCTTGCTGTGTGCACCACTTTCCCAAGTTGTGTTCAAGGCCATTCCAGTAAATGCCACCCAACCTTCTTAGCACCTGGTTTCACACACCGCTGCAAAGGGCTGTGTTTATAGAATATATGATTGCCGCTAGATAGAACGAGAAAAGAGAAGAAGGAAATGGCAGCAAAGTGGCAATAAAGACAGCTGTGGACTTAAAGAGATTTAAACACCAATGAGCATTAATGCTGACATAGTGCACACATAACCAGAGGATGTGATAGAATTGTTCCTGGACTAGGCTACTAGAGGGTGCAGGTGAGTAATTACCTCACAGATTATCCTTCTGCTTGTTTCCAACCCACACCCCAAAACACACCTGGCATCACAGAAAAACCAATTAACTGAGAAAGTTAGATATCAAGGGAAAGATTTCTATTAGACCAGCCTTCCTCAAAGTGGTACCCTCTTTTTTTTTTAATTACAAGTCCCATCATACCTGGTCAATTTGACATGCTCACTATGGCTGATCAAAGTTGTGGTTCAAAACATCTGGAGGAAACCAACTTGGAGGAAAGCCATCTAAAACAAACCTCATCCTGGACAGTGTAATTTTCAGTGTGACATGTCACTTTTTGGGGGGGGGGGAAGTGAGGAAACAGTGAAGGAATATCCAACCCTTCCGTTTACTGCTGTCACCTGCAGTCTGAAATGGTAGAGTCCCCAAAGAGTTAGGCCAGATCATCTTCTGCTTTTGTAGACCAGGCCATAAAATAAGAGACAGAACTGTTACCTAGGAAGAGTTAACTGTTAGTCTCAGTTTTTGTGTTTCCATCAAATGGGAGTCGCATCCGCCTCACACACTGTGGTGGTAATGCTGAATACAATGCAAAACAACAGCATGCTGCAGCTGCATAAACGCAGCACACAAAAGCTGGAGAGCTGA